TAGGAGCTATAGAAATAAAGTGAATTAAACTGTATTGTTACCAGCAGCTTGGAGCTATAGAAATAAACTGAATAGAATTGAATTTATTACATGAAAATTGAAGGGGATATCAAGCTGGCAGCTTGGATAAGACCGGTTTGGCAAATTTTGAAGATTTGAGGGAAGTTTCCGTGGGGGAAACAGCCCGTACAATTTGTCCTTTTTTAGTAAAGGCCATATGGCTGTCTAGCTAAAAGCCTGCCTGGAAAGCTTGCTTGTCCAGAGACCTTTGTTGCAGGACTTTACTGTAATCTTCTGTGAAGAAGTGATCAATTGTACTGACATGCATCAATCAGCGGGCTAGCTGCACCTCTCTCTTCTCTTCTGTGTGGTTGCAAACCCACTTTCAGCAAATTACCACCACCTAAAGGTCTGGAGGGATACATTTAGCTACTTTTTACATGTAATATGAAAGTTGATTGCTTTTGAGATTTGAAAACTGCCTTTTGTTAAATTCCAATAATATTGCATATGCAATGAATTACCCAGCCCTAGACAGAACCATGGGAGGAGGATGAAGATGAAGGAGATCATCTTGGACTTCAGGAAGAACTGGCCCAACCATGAGAGGCGGTCAGCAGCATCAAATTCCTTGGGGTGCACATCACAGACACCCTCACCTGGACTGGAAACACCACCTCACTGGTCAAACAGGCCCAGAAGCGCTTGGACTTCCTGCGGAGGATGAGGAGAGCCCACCTGCCCCCCCATCCTCCCCACCTTCTACAGAAGCACCATAGAGAGCGTTCTGAGCAGCTGTCTCACTGTGTGGTGTGGAGGCTGCAGCGCCTCAGACTGGAAGAAGCTGAGAACAGCAGAGACGATCATGGGGGCTCCTCTTCCCTCCATTAAAGACATTTCATCCCAGCGCTGCGTGTCCCGAGCCCGTGACATCATCAATGACCCCTCACCCCCCCGACCATGCACTGTTCTCCCTGCTGCCCTCTGGGAAGAGGCTTCACAGCATTCAATGCAGGACCAGCAGGTTCAGAAACAGCTTCTTTCCCACCGCCATCAGACTGATGAATGCTGTGTAAAAGGGGTTATTTATAAAAAAAAAAAATGAAAGTTTAGAACTGTAAATATACAGTTGTATATTTATATTACTATTTTTTTTTTATGTATTAATGTTCTTCAAGGCTGCACTTTAAAGAATGAAATTGTCTCGAGCTCTTTTAAATGCAATGTCTTTTTGGATACACTCGTGTATACAAAATAAATCTGTCTAAGGTTTGAGGGTGGATCTAACTGCCTCTCCGTCTCTGACAGGTGCAGGAGAACCAGAGGCTGCAGGCTCTCCTGGAGAAACACGCCATCCGATCCTGACTGAGCTCCAGGAGGAACCTCCTGTCATCCCGGCTCCGAGGCGGTGGATCGCTGTCGTTTTTCAGTAGAACATCTGCAGGACTTTGGCCTGAAATGTCGGCCATGTTAAGTTTAAGAACGTGGCCTGTAAATATGATCTTCTTATGAATGGATTGAACTTTCTTTAAATTCTAAAATAAAAACATTCTACATTTAAGAAAATAAAGAGCTTTATTTCTGAAAATCTATAAACATTTATCTACAGGATTTACATGATAAACCGTGTTTGTTCTGATTGGTCGGCTCAGACGAAAGGGAAGAAGAAGTCGAAGGGGAGCTTAGCATCGATGGTGGGCGTGGCCCGGTACCCAGGGAGGGCGGCAGCAGACACGGGGATGAAGGCCACAGAGCTTCTGATTGGTAGTATGCTGCTGCCAGCAGGAGGCGGGGCCTGTGGAGGAGGACAAACTGGTTCTAACTGGGCTCTGTGGGACGGAACCTTTTAGACTGGAGACATGTGTTCTGGTCTGAGATCAGAGCGTAAACGGGTAGTGAGACTTACCAAACTGCTGCGGTTGGTCTCTATGACCTCCCTGATGGTCACTATCTGAGCCTGGGGGTTCTGCAGGGACCCATATTTGGTCCATTCTATCTCCAGGTGGAGTGAAACTGGGATGGAGCAGCTTCCTTCCTCCTGAAAGGGACAGAAGACATTTAAATGTCTCTAACAGTCCCACACGTGGATCATCCAGCCCAGGAGCTCACCGTGGGGCTGATGGTGGTTCTAATGGGAACCCAGTCCAGCACATTCTCTAACGGGGAGTTTCCAAAGGAGGCCACAAACCGCGGAGGGGCCGGTCCCCTCAGGACATCCAGGAGCTGCTGGGAAACCAGGGAGCAGTTGGTCACGTCCTCCAGCCTGCAGGGACATGAGGTCAGGAGGTCAGAGGTCAGCCTAGCGGGAGCGGCTGTGAGCGCGCCCTACCTTAGCGTGCAGCCCGACACAAAGTCCAGCCCGAAGCGGACGGGAGCGCGTTGGTGGGGGCCCCGCAGACAGTCCTGGTCCCCCTGGGTGAGCAGCACAGACAGAGCGTCGCTCAGCTCCACGCTCCTGCTGATGCCGGTGCAGAGGACGGTTAAGGATAGGGCCGCATTCTCATCGGTTCATCTGTTGATTAATCCATTAATAATCGAATATCCAAAAGTTCCTTAAAGAAGAGTTTTTACAAGTTTAAACCAGGCGAAACTAAAGAGTTTCCCTTTGAGGAGATATGCATAGAGTAGAATGACAGAAGAAAAAGTCTTTTTCACCTTAAATGCAAAATGTTTAAATAAAAAAAATTAAAAATGTTGGTATAATTTCTGCTCTAAGTGAGTCACTCTGTCAGCTTAAGTCATGTTTTATAGTCTCTATACTCCAATGAATGATTAATCAATTAGTTTTTGATTATTATATTAATGGATTAATTGTTTCAGCTCTAGTTAAGGAGGAACCCTGGAGTTCATCTCCTCAGCATGTTTTCCATAGAGAAAGGATATTCTGCTACTCGGTCTCCTGACATGAGAGCTGATCCCACCAGGTATCCCGGGTTCCCGCTGTGATGGACGCCGCGCTCCCCTCCAGCCTGCACACACAGAACGGCAGCTTCAGCGCAGGCGGTCCACCAGACAACCAGAACATTCAAATGTCGCCCTGAAAGCCGACCTGGACCAAGACACCCTCCCCGGTTCTGTAGAGGAAGACGTGACACCCTGGAAATGATTACCTGGATGAACTGGACCTGGAACTCCTGCTGCAGCGAGGCCTCCGCCGTGCTCATGAATCCAAGCACCAGAGAAACACTGGCCTGCTCCACCTCACCGCTCCGGTTATACTGGATCACAAAGACGACCTGAGAAGACGACAGGGATCGTTTCTGTACTCGGGTCCCTCAGGGTGACACCATAGGAACTGCTCTCCAGCCGCTACAGAGAGGGGCCTAGTCAAAGTTCAGACTTGGAATCCCTGATTAGACTTTGTAGTTTTGATCTGGACCTTTGAGAAGGTTCTGATCGGCCGGTGTAGGTACCAGATTGACTTGGGCTGCCAGATTGACTAGGGGGCCTGCGC